AAGGAAAGATGATGGGGAAAGCCAACCTGCCATTTTTNGATCAATGCTAATAATTATCTAGGGCAAGGGGTTCGAACTTTGTTGAAGAGAGTTGAAGATCTGTACCTGGATGAAATGAATGGTGTAAGAAATGTTCTTTATGAACTACATGAGGATGGTTTTCCACATTTAAAGCGTCTGCTTGTACAAGATGGTCTTGAGCTTTTGTATATTGTTAACTCATTTTCTGGCAAACTTGCGTTTCCCCAGTTGGAGTCCTTGGTCCTTCGTAATTTGATTAATTTGGAGAAGATAAGTCACGGCAAACTCAATGTGGGGTCTTTCAGCAAATTAAGGATACTGAAAATAGAAAAATGTGATAGATTGGAGTATCTCTTTGCATCCTTCGTGACAAAAAACCTTACTCAGCTACAAGAAATGGAAGTGATTGATTGTAAGAACCTAAAAGAGATTTTTGGTGAAGAAAGTAAAGACCATGGTGATGAAATTGAAACAGATGATATGATTGAGTTCAATCAATTGTGTTCTCTAACACTACAACGTCTACCACAATTCATAAAGATTGGTTTTGACCTGAGGGTATGTTTTGTATTTTTCATCTTTTATTTTATTTTGATGTAAAAAGGAGTTTTCTTATTAGTCTATAAGTTATATTTACAAACAAGGTTTATTTCCACAGGTCGTCTTTCCAAGATTGGAGAACTTGAAATTGTGCTCAATTAATATTGAGAATACATGGCTTGATCAACCTTTGGCAATGTCTTCTTATAGTCAATGCTTAAAAAGCTTAACCGTGGAGGAGTGTAATGGCTTGAAATTTTTGTTTACATCTTCTATGGTCAAAAGTCTTAACCAACTCCATAAACTTGTGATAGGCAATTGTAAGTCAATGGAAGTAATAATCGACTCAAAAGGGGAAGAAGGAGAAGAAAGGATAATTGATATGAGCTTTCCTAAACTATTCTACTTGAAACTTGAAGTTCTGCCAAAACTTGTGACTTTTGGCATCGGGAATTCAATCGAATTCCCGTCTTTAAATGAAATTCATATTGATGATTGCTCTAATTTGAAGACATTCTTCTGCAAATCTTTTTATCCAGGCACTGTGAGAGAAGAACCTGAAGAAGAACTGAACTTGGAGAACTACTTTATTGATATAAACCCTCTTTTTGATGAAAAGGTGATTTATCTTTGTACTAAAAAATTATGTTGCTTATTACTTTCAAAACGTTTTTCTCGATTTTGAGAGCAGATCAACCTTACACAATATTTGGAAATCTTTCTCATCGTAAGATTACAGGTCTTTTATACAAAAATATTGACATCATGGATTGTTCGCTGCAGGTTGTTTTTCCAAGCTTGGAGGTGATGGTACTATTACACTTGGATAACTTGCAATTGATATGGCATAACCAACAACTCCATGTGGAATCCTTTTGCAAACTAAAAGAAGTGAGAGTCAAATTCTGTGAAAAGTTAAAGACTATTGTTCCATCTAATTCTCACGGACTTCTCACCTTTCACAATCTAGAGAGATTGATTGTTGAGAATTGTTGGAGTATGAAAAGTCTCTTTCCAGTTACTATAGCTACTAGTCTTGTGCAACTTAATGACCTTTGCTTAGTCTCCTGTGGGTTGGAGAAAATCGTTTCTGAGGAGGAAGTTAACGGGGCCCCTAGATTTTTGTTTCCACAATTAACAAACTTTAGTCTCGAAAATTTACCAGAACTCAAATGTTTCTACCCAGGGTTCCATACAATAGAGTGCCCGATGCTAAAACTTGTGGCTGTGTATGGGTGCAAGAAGATAAAAATATATGCTTCAGAATTTCCTAGCTTCCAAAAGAAAGACGATGGGAAAAGCCAACCTGCCATTTTTCTGTTAGAAAAGGTATGATTTCAANACCCAAGGCTCCATACAATAGAGTGGCCGATGCTAAATGGTTTGGCTGTGTATGGTTGCAAGAAGATAAAAATATATGCTTCAGAATTTCCTAGCTTCCAAAGGAAAGATGATGGGGAAAGCCAACCTGCCATTTTTCTGTTAGAAAAGGTATTATGATTTCAGTTTCTTCCATACTCACTAAAAAATACAACATGTTTAAGATTATTCAAATTAATTTGATCATCGCTTATTCTGATTATGTATGTGCACAAATACTGTGGGATTGCCAATTTTCCATTTAGGTAGTATAACATAAATACCTTTATTTGGTTTTGCACTTTTTAGTATGATACAGTACCCCAAATGAAAATTAAGAGTTAAACTAAGCGTCAGTCAACTTTAGTTTCCAATTCATAAGGACATTAATGTTTCTGTTGCAAATGAAAATAAACTAAGAATCACTTTTTCTTTTGCTTGGTCATGATAAATTTGTTTTTCTCTTTAACTCCATCAAGTTGATGTATAACAATCAGTTGAATGTTTCAATTGTGAGATATTATTCATTTTGTTGATTAAAAATTGTTGTTCATTTATGTAATTCTTGTTTAAAGTACATATTGATGTTGTAAGATTTTATTTATTTATTTATTTATTAGAAATATATAATAACATAATCAACCAGAGAAATTTTATTGGTAATATCCATCCTGCATTGAAATTTGGCTCATGAAAGTAGACAAGACCTTTTGCCTTGTACGTTTCCATTTACATTATTTCCAACTTAAAAATCTGGTTATATATGGTTCTACTTGCATATAATTAGATGTACTACTAATTAATGATATTGACTGCTTCTTTAGCGTATAACTTGTGACACGTGTACCATATATATGAAAAAATTGATGCATTTTTCTGTGTATACCGATGAACTTGTAGATGAGTGAACGCCAACACCTACTTATTTGTTTACTCATTAATTTTCAGGTCATACCGAATTTGAAGGAATTGGGTTTAGATGCACATGACTTCATATTGACATTCCTCCATAGTGATCTAGCTGAGACCTTTGGCAAACTTAAACGACTTGTGCTGTGTTACTTTGATGATGAATTTGTTGCTTCTCTGTCCTGTTTCCTTCAAAGGTTAAATTGTTTGGAATCACTTTGTTTTAGTCTTAATAGTTCCAAAGTGCTATTCCCCTATGAACAAGAACATATATGGAAACAAGATTTACGAGGGGACACATTTCTTCAAAATCTTCAAACTCTACAAGTAGATAGATGCCATTGTTTGAAAATTTTGATGCCATCCGCAATGTCTTTCAAAAATCTTACAACTCTGGAAGCTTGGAGTTGCGATGGACTAGTCAACGTATTTGCATGCACAGCAGCCAAAGCTCTTGTCAATCTCACAACAATGAAAATAAGAGATTGCAAGTTAGTGACAGAGGTAATAACCAATGAGGGAGACAGAGAAGAGGAGGTTGTTTTTGGCCAATTGAAAGTTTTGGAGCTTTACTGTTTATCAAGCCTCACATTCTTCTGCTCAACCAATTATTCCTTCAAATTCCCTTGTTTGGAGCAAGTTATTGTGAGTCAATGCCCAAAATTAAAGATCTTCTCCCAGGGAGTCTTAAACACACCTTTACTAAAGAGAGTACAATTGACGAGAGAGGATGACCCAGCATATTTTTGGAAGGAGGACCTCAACTCCACTATCCAACAAATGTTTAAACACATGGTACTCACTTATTCACAAAATTTTTCTATTTCCCTTTCCTGTCATCACTATCAATAAATCTTATATATTCATGGATATATGGTGATGATTTTAACTCAGTACTTTTTTTTTTCTTATTATATATTCAAGTATTGCCTATTTTCTTTGCTTCTTGTCTAGTAAGGAGCAGCCCTAGATTACAAATCATTCCATAGTATTTAGTCATGTCTAAGTTTTGGGTGGTTTATTAATGAACGCACTAATTAAAACTATAAAAATTCAAAAGTTTTGTCACATTTATGTACTAATAGAAATACGTTTTTTTTTTTTTAGTTAAATCTTTTTGTTCAAAGATATGTTGATATACTCCTTTTTCTTTTATACTTTTAATGACATTAACAAAATTCTTAAACTACACGTTGAAGACCATCCACATAAAAGGTTTTATATTAGTAATTTGGGGAAGAAATATTTCTTACAGGAATGTGAAAATTGTTGATTAGGAGTTAAAACATCATTATCAATCTTCAATGAATTATTATTCTTAAGCTTTACTGCTTTAGGTACTTGTTTATGTTTTGGCCCCTCAAAAATAAAAATCCCAATAGTACAATGTTTTAATTAATCCAAAATTTTGGGTTTCACAGGTTGGTTTCCGTGACTTTGAACATTTGACACTCTCTCAATTCCCGAACATGAAAGAAAAAATATGGAATGGTCAAATACCAATCGACTTATTTTGGAATGTAAAGTCATTAGTGGTGGATAAGTTTTCAGATATGTCAAGTGCTATTCCATCCAATGTGTTATGCCACTTCAAAAATCTGGAAATGTTGGATGTAAGAAGTTGTGAGTCATTAGAACAAGTATTTGATTTGGAAAGGCTAAATGCTAATGGACTTGCATTGGAGGAAAATCGTCAAGAAATTTTGGGCTCAAAGAAATTGAAATCATTGAAAATTGACAATTGCAACAGCTTGAGATATGTATTTACACCATCTATACTGTTGTGTCTTGATCAACTCCAAGAGATAGAAGTGAAAAATTGTGCTTTGCTAGAAGAAATCATCAAAAAGGAAGTGCAAAAGGATGCAGTGAGTGATAAAATTGTAATCCCTCAATTAAACACTGTTAGGCTTGAGTCATTGCCTAACTTGACAAGCTTCTATTTGGGAAGCGATATTTTGGAATGTCCTCCCTTGGAAACAATTATCATCAAGGACTGTGAGAAGACACATATAAAAGAGTTTAGTATCCATCTTGCATCTCTTTTCACTATAAAGGTAAGTCTGTTTCAATTCTTTTTACATGATGATGAGTTTTATCAAAGAAATTTACATATTTTATAAACAAAATGAAGTTTTTGTTTCTAAAACAAACATTTTATATGCATGTAGGTTGTATTACCCAGCTTGGAAGCATTTTCTTGCTTCCAAAATTTAACAATATTGGTCATCGATGGCTTTGATCATTTAAAATATTTATTCCCATCTTCAATGGTCAAAAGTATTTTCAGACTGAAGGAGCTTCAGATATCTAACAGTAAGTTCATGGTAAGAATAATAGATGAAGATGAAGAGAGATCAAGTACGATGCTGTTTCCTAAATTATACGAGCTGAAGCTTAGAGATCTTCCAAAACTCACAACATTCAGCAACTCCACTTCAAATTTTGTTGTAATGCCATCCTTATTCAGATTGTGGATTGACAATTGCCCTGGTGTTCAAACATTCATCTCCAGTTCTATATTTGGTGACATGACATTATCAAGCAAAGAACATGAAGAAACGAATGCAAAAGAGAACTTTACTCAAATGCATTCTCTTTTCGATAAAAAGGTGATACTAAATCTTTTGTTATCAATTTTTTTTCTTTCCTATGTTTTTATCTAGATTCAACTAAATATATGTTCTTATTTGACATCATATCTAATTTACTTTGAAATCTTCAGGTAAGATTCCCTAGTTTGGAGAGATTGCAAATTAGTTATGCTGATGAGTTGGTTAAAATATGGGACGATCAGATCTCTTTGGATTCCTTCTGCAAATTAAATCGTGTGTTTGTACGATTTTGTAAAAGACTTGTAAGTGTTTTTCCATCTAACATGTTTGGGAGTCACCAGAAACTAGAGACGTTGATAGTAGAAAATTGTGATTCAGTTGAAGAGATATTTGAAGTGCTTGAGGAAAGGTCTAGTGAGGTGGAGGAAATTGTTGACAAGAAGGAAGCAGTCCCTACGTTTGTGTTCTCTAACTTTGCCTTGCTATCTCTACAGATGCTACCGAGTCTCAAAAGTTTATACCCAAAAGTACATATTTCTGAATGGCCAATTTTAGAAGTGATGAAGGTATATGGATGTGATAACGTGGAGATATTTGCTTCAGAATTTTTGAGCATCCAAGGGACTTATGGAGAAAATCAACAACCACTGTTCTTGGTTTGCAAGGTATGAGCCCCGATACTCAAATAAATCATGTCAACAACTCAAGTAAAGACATTCTAACGATTTTCCTAATTTTATTTCATCTCTTAAAAGATAATGTTATTAGCAATGCATGAATTTTACTTGAAATGTATAGTATTATTTGTAATTGAAGAAATTTTTCTTATTGGAAAATTGTGCCATCATTATCATTATCGATATCGATAAAAGTAAGTCCCTATATATCTCTATTATACTAATTATCCCTTCTTTTTGGTTTCATCACTTTTTTGTGATTGTCTGATTTCCCAGGATGCATTCCCTAGGTTGGAAGAACTGGAGTTATGTGAAATGCCCAGGTTGTTGCATCTATGGAGAGGAAATTCTCAGCCTAGCAATGCTTGTCAAAATCTGAAGACTTTGAGAGTATCTGGATGTGGCAGTTTAGAAAATTCATGGTCATCATCAGTGTCTTTCCAGAATTTGGAGACTTTGCAAGTTTCAAAGTGTGATGGATTGAGATATTTACTGACCCCTTTAAAAGCTAAAACTCTGGATCAACTTACAAGAATGAATGTATCTGATTGCAAAATGATGGGGGAAATTATAACACGTATGGGAGATGAAGTACTGCAAGATCCAATTGTTTTCAACAGATTAAACTATTTGGAACTGGACTGTTTGTCCAGCCTTAAAAGCTTTTGTTGTGGGGATTATACTCTTGAATTCCCATCCTTGAAAAAAGTAATTGTCAGACAATGCTTGAAGATGGAGACTTTTTGTCATGGAGTCATAAGCACACCAGAGCTAGAAAGACTACAGTGGACAGGAGGAGAGGATGAAGTAGAAGAATGTTGGGAAGGCAACCTTAATTCCACCGTACAACATTGGTTGAAAAATATGGTATATTATTGACTTACAAAAATACCTCATGCACTTCTAAAGTTTGATGAATTGAATTGGTTGAATTCATGTTTTCTTTTATTTTCTTAATTCAATGAGATATGCTTTGTGATTACAGAATGTGCAGAGCTCCAAAGAAGATTGAGGTCATTCCTTTTAATAGTTTGTGATGCATCACGGCTCCATTTCCTCCAGGTGAAGAGGGAATTTTTTTCTAGCAACTTAATATTATTTTCATGTTTGGTTGAAGGTGGAGCGACTTCTGTTTACACATTTGCCATGTCGTTGTTCTTGTTGGATTTGTTTTATGTATTCCAATTTCTCCAAGTTGCCAAACACTTTGGGCAAACAAGACGGTACAATATGCAGTTTGTTAATTTCTATGTTCTTGTGCTTTATTGAATCTTCTTTCCAAAACATTTACAAAAGTGGTTGTTTATTTCTTTAAATTTGTCGAGTCTATTAAATTACCATTTTGAGTACATAATAAAAGGATAAAGAAGAGGGAATTCGAAGCTTTATATTAAAAGCCTAGGTTTTCAATAAAAGCTTAAAACATAGATGTGACGAAATGGATATGATCTGATACAAAAGACCTTCTAATTGGGACTCCAAATATTTCCCATCTCCATTCTTAAGTAAAGGTTTCTATCCTCTTGGAGAGACCTCTCTGAGTATCCTCCATTCCATATTCATCTAAACACTCAACTCTAAAATCAAGAAACACAAGCAAAAATGTAACGAAAAAGCTTCAAGTAAAAACAGAGCAAGAACTTGTATCAACTTATTAAGATGGCAATTACAAAAATCAAATTGATGTTTAATCTCATATTCAACCCAAAGTTCGTGCTTCTCTTGCTCCATAGAAAATACAAATTAATATGTGAATGACGACATCTTTGAGTTTGGAACCAAAATTATAATGAAAAAAATGAGATTCCGAAGTAAACTCATTGATACACCATTATAACAACAATCTCAAGTTACTTATGCAGTGCAAAAAAATGCTTTTAAAACTCTATTGTTAAATCTTCTTAATGATGATGTTAGACATTAGTATATGAAGTACAGTGTTTTCATCTTAGAACAATAAAGAATGAGCAAGGTTCTAAAATTGCAAAAAGTTTTTTGAGTGATGTAAACATATATCATATTTTGGTTTCAAGAATTAAAAGGAACATTTAGAAGTGTAAATGAAAACAGTGAGTTTTCATATGTCCTACAACCATATTTATGAATCAAATCAGAGAATAAACAAAGCAAAATAGAGCTCCTCTGTTTCCATTCCCCTGTTTTCTGTCAAACTTTGCTGAAACAGACAATAATAGAACTATTGATCAACCTCATCATAAAGACTTTGGCATTATGTTATCATCTGAACTATACATGCTTACCTGTACTTCATTTTTAATGTAGATCAAACTATTAAACATGCTTACCTGGGGATTTGCCAGAAGGTAGAGGCGCTGGGAAGGAAGGGGTAAGGGGCCATGGGGTGGTTGGGCTTGGCGGAAAGGGGAAGGGCAGACGACGGTTTGTTGGTTTGCGGTGGTTGTGTGTTGTGAGAGTCGGTGAATGGGGGTAAAGAAGAAGCGGTAGGGTTTATCCAGAGAAAGAGTAAACAAGTCATTTTATTTATTGATCAATCTTATATTTTAGGCTGCTATTTTATCTCTGTTCTGTCAAAATTAACGAAAAAGAAGTACACAAATGTTTAATAGGGATGATCCACTAGTTTGTTGATGTGTTACACAAAAACAATTAGAAAACCCTAGATTACACCATGATTTAAACTCAAATATAATAATACAATTAATATGACTTAACCCCAAATATCATTATAGAATTAACATTGTTGTCACTGCAGAAAGCTTGGTTATAAACCACTCCCTAAATTCTCATATGCGAATGACCCGATTTTTTTAAATTTAAACCTAAATTATTTCAAGTAAAGAGTTTGCTATTTTTTTTTATTTTTTTTTTGACCTTTTACAAAAAATTAAAATTAGTAAATTTTATCTTTTAATAAATTCCTCAAACTTTTATCTAAAGTTTTTTTATTTTTTAAAGAACAAGAGATCATCGGGAAAGAAATTTATCTTGCTATTTGAGTTTAGAATCTGATCATAAAACTTTCCACATTTTTCAATTTGGTGTGGTTTACTTCGTTGGAAGTCAAGGGGTGGATACCATTTACATCTAATAGCAAAATCAGCAACTAGGGTTGGCAAGACACCAAAGACCAATTATGGGGAAGAAGCCATCGTTACCGCCGTCACCACCACTGCCGTTACCTCCTACAACACCTACAAAACCTGTAACAATACCAGCCCAAGGAGGAGCACCTGCAGGTCAAGAACCAAATTAAGCCATGGCTAATGGCTTATGTTCTATTATATAATTTATGGGAACTAGTATTTCCCATTCTATAACAATAAACATGCACTATTTTGTTATATATTGATCATAAATATTCTCTCTTCATTTGTGTTCAAGAGGTAGTTCTAATGAATTAACCATGGACATAATTATGGAATATTAACATATGCATGTAATTAAACCTAAATTTACTATAATTAACAACTTAAATCAATCAAATAACTGATCATCAAAAAACAACTAACTAAATATAGGTGTACTGAAACTTGAAAGTAGAGATAGACGCAGAAATTAATTTTAGAAGGGATAAATACAAATCTAGAAATATTGGTAGAAATATAGAATGATCAAAACAAAAAACCAAACCAAATTTTTGACGTATTTCGACATCACAATTGATCTAATTAGAATTGACGTGCGTCGATCTATCATAATCTGATAGAATCACCACACTCTAATGAGCTATTTAACCTTGGAAGTTGGTCAAAGGTTTCATCCTCTTCTTTGACAAAACAAAACTTTATAATCGATGATTACATGGGATTTTGACCATCCCAGTCAAAAATTAGCATAAATTTTTGTAGTTCATAATCAGAAGTAAAAATTAAAAAGTTGAATTGAGATGTAATTTATTTATTTATTTTTTAAAAAAAGAGCATAAAAATTCATTAACGGATGTGACCAACTATTGTTGTCTTAAACATCAAAACTAAATTAAAGACAATAGGCTTGTACCCAGTAACTTTTAGGGGCCGTTTGGATCAGTTGAAATGTTTTAATGGGAGTAATATTTGTTTAATTGAGTAGATAACAGTGTTTGGTAGTTTTGTACAAAAACATTACCAGAAAATAAGATGACAGACAGTGCCAAAAGGGGGTAAATTGCCAGGAATAATATTACTTGGGGGGTGCTGTTATTAAAACATTCCTCCAATAATTATAATTTCTGTCCAATCTTGCCCCTAAACAGTGGATTATGCGGACAAAAATATCCTTTGGTTTTTTTTACTAATTACAAAATAGCCAATTTGCACAAACAGACGTATTTGTCCTCGATGTTTTCATTTTTCGGACGAAATTGCCCTGATTTTTATCATTTTTTCAAAAATGCCACGAAGATTGGTGTACCCATACTATCCTCACATATTTGCATATTGTGACCAATATGCCCTTGAGCTTCATTGAAACTACAGTATAAAAAGAAAAAAAAATCAAAACTGTACAGCAACAATTTCCTTCTATGCTAAAACTTCTTCACCGCCGTTGGAGTCTTCTTCTTGTCAATCTCGTTCGCTAGTTCGTTAGTCCGATTGCCATTTTTGGTAAGTCTTTTGCCCTCTTTCCTTTGTATGTTGCGTGATTTGTTTGGATTGCAATTTGAAACCCTAACGCCTCCATTTTGCCTCTGCCGTTGGTCCACCATCTCTGCCACAGCAATGTCGGGTCTTCGTCACCATCTATTTGCTCCTAACAACACTCCAATCGCAATTTTTGGTAAGTTCGTTGCCTCTTTATGGTGTAGGAAGATTATTAAATTGAGAGGGTTGGTTTGTTTCGCTTTAGAGAGGGCAATATTGTTGTGGAATAATCGATTTGATGCTTAAATTACATGAAAATTGTTCGAAATGGCAGTAGGGTTTAGGGTTTAATGTTGTGATTTGTTGCGTTGGAGTTAGGGTTCCTTTGTTTTTTCTATTTAAGGTTTGGCTGGGTGTGTTCTTTTTTATGTGTCATAGGGTTGAAATTGTGTGTATGAACTGCATTTTGGGTTACTGTTATGGTTGCAATGGTGGCGGGAATTTCATATGTTTATGGTTGCATTTGTGGTTGATCTGTACATGTAATGGTGGCTGAAATACTATGTATATATGGTCAATTGTCTTGGCAAGGTAATGAAATGTTGAAATTGATTTACTGTTGGAATTTTGTGTGCATTCGGTAATTATTTGGATAACATTGTGGTTGGAGCTTTGGCATGTCTGGGTTACTTGTGCTTTGGGCGATATTGCTTTTCTTTAGAGTATTTTAGGGGGCTTTGACGTAGATTTTTGGTTGCACGGTTGGGGTGGGTTTAGTATGGTGAGATGATGGTGTGTGTTGGTATAAATTTATGGGTATTCGACATGTGGCCATGTTTCCAAGCTTGAATAACTTCTTATTATTATTATTGGAAATGATGTTTTTAGTTGTTATAAATTTATGGGTATTTGGCATGTGCTCGTGGCTATGTTTTAAATTTTGAATAACTTATTATCCATGAATTATGTGAAATAGCTATGGCTCGTTTAACAGTCAGGCAAAAGATGCACTTGGTTGCCCTTTTAGTCTTCCATTTGGACATGTTGGAAACCATGTACACCATGCTCGTCCTTCTTGGGTGGCTAATGTACTTAATATATGGGGTAGACGTAGGGCTGGTATATCATATTCCAATGAGTCTGCATCTAAGTGATTGTGTTTTGAGAGCTATAGGATGAACAGGGCTCTATTTGACAAATTATGTAATTTACTTACTATACATGGCAACTTAAAATCAACTTGTCATTCATTCGTAGAAGAATTAGTTGGGACTTTTCTTCACATCCTTGTCCATAACCAAAAGACCAAAGTCATAAAACGTCAAATGCGTAGATCCACTAAGACGGTAAGCTACAATTTTTACTTAATCTTGAACGCCATGTTAAGATTGCGTACCCTGCTATTTAAAAAACCAGAGCCCATTCCCGAGAACTCAACCGATAATTGGTGGAAATGGTTCAAGGTACA